TGACGTATTGTTGATAACTGATCATAATTGGTATTGGAATTGGGATTCCGGGCTAGTTTTTTTTTTTAAACGCCGAACCACATGAGTAACGAACTCTCCATGGAAAATATATTAAAATAAGTCATTATMAGTTTTAAATAATTATGTTCCAATAAAAAAATTATTTGTAAAATTTAAYACAAATCTCTGTTCTTCTGCTCCAGTAGAAATGCTATTTTCATTTGCCGGGTTTGTTCATTGCCCTACTAGAGGAAATTTATCCGACCAAAATTTTGAAAAATTAATTTTTCTCAAAGGAAATAAATTGTATTCATTACAATAGAAAACGATTATTAATACATTATTAAAATGTTCAATAWTTTTATTTTGTTTATTTTACAATTGTATGTTTTACTTTCTATGTTGCATGCACCTATTTTAAACTGACTACTGATTTTATGACTKTTACTATTATAAACAATTGACYAATGTGTTAATTATAATAAATAAATCATTACAAGCATATTCTACTTATAAATGTAACTTTTTAACTTTAAATGTAACTTAGTTACATAACTGCAACTTTTATCCAGTTACACAACATAAAAATATCTAGTATCTTGTTACTAGTTATACAGTTTTAGAGTAACTCGTGTCTTATAACCAGTTACAATAAATTGGGTAACTTTCCYAACCCTGCCTATGTTTATTATATTCTACCAGCGTATTTGTTTTATGTTGTACGACAGCACAATATACTATGAAAAAATTTACTTACAATCCCTGGACATGCCAACCGTAAGACATTTTTTGAATCGGCAGTACTGACATCGATTTCTGTTTAATCTGATCACCAAACATTTGCCGTCCCTCAGACACCGATATTCGATTTGTTTTTGTATACTCCGTCTGAAGAACCCCTGTAACAAATATTTTTCAAATTAATATATTTTAATTTATCCAGAGGCGTATATAGGATTTTCTTAAGGAGGGCATATGAATTTATCCAGTTATCACTAACCCGAAGGGGGCATTGCGCCTCACTCCCAATGGCTCCTTAAATTTTAATAATTATTGTGTTAAACCATCAGTACAAAACACGTTACCAAAATAGAACGAATATACATCTATAATAAACATGTTAGTATGAAACATACTGGAGATTAAATATTTTGTTGCAACAAATAGGTACACATTTTTTCAAAAAAATATCAATTATTTAGTGACAGAATCATTCATAATTTTTTATACCTATAACGAATTTAATCCACTTTAATTGGCACATAATATTAATTATTACATAGGTACCTAAAGGTAATTTTTTTATAATTATATTGAAATGCGTACCTATACTATTATAATTATCTTAACATCTTCAACACTAAATTTTTTATTTGATGAGAAATAAAAATATATTGTAYTTTTTTTTTGCATCAATACATTTTTTTTTTTTACCAGAAAAAAAATCTAGGGTCGGGTGGGAACTGTTTAGCATAATACTGCTCATCAGGTTTATACTAATGTCATGTTATAATAGCTTAAAAATACTATTTCACAATTCACAATTATAGCAATAATGACATTTAAATATCATAAGCTTAATGTAGGGATGGATACCTGTTGACTAGGTACCTATTACCCACAAAAATTTACGATAGTAAAATTAGTAGGTATATATTATAATATAAAATAGTATTCGATTTACTATTTAGTATACATAGGTACTATARGTAAAGAAATTGAAATAAAATTGCTCCATCACAGTAATTTACAACAATAACTATAAAAAGTGTTTTTTTTACTAAACATTTTATTTACAATCTAT